TAAAAGGGAGGCCGTTTAAGTGCCAACATTATGAACAGGCTTTTTTGCGTAGCAGAACTTTGAACCGCCACGCTTTCAAGGTTCATGAGAGTGGGCTAGCTTTAGTGATAAGGACCTAGTTTTTTGTATATTTTGATGGATTGTGTTTAGGTACCAGCAATGCAAAACACCTTCCCCCTTGTCAGAATTATGGTAGATTCTTCTTTCGTCGAGTCCTTTTAAAAGAACACATTTTTGCGTTTCATGAGGGTGAGTTAAGTAGTTTACAAATACTAAACTTGACTAGGTTCTATAAATATCTTTCCTTGTATTTAAATGAATTTCGCTTTGTACTGCTTTTACATCACTTTTAGGAAGGAGAAGACTCACTTGCCCGCAATGCATTAAACATTTTTCCTATTCAAACCAGTTAAACAGACACATTTCTTTGGTCCATGAGAGTAAGTTAATTAATTTTGTTATGGTAGACTTGATCAACATATAAGTACGCATTTTCTGCTGTACTAAAACACCGCATTTTATTACGTTAACATAACCCTTAGAGGAGAGACCGTTTACGTGCAAGAATCGTGGAGAATCCTTCATGCAGCGATGTAATTTAAACACACACATTTCTGCGGCTCATGAGAGTGAGTAAAGTGATTTTTAAGTACCTATCTCAATCTACTTTCAGAAACCTATCTCTTATTGCTTAGTTGCAGTTCGTCTTGTATTTCTTTACACTGCTTTTAGGAAGGAAGCCGTTTACTTGCCAGAAGTGTGGTAAAGCCTTCACTCGTCGAACGCGTTTAAACGCACACATTTCCGTGGTTCATACAAGTAGGTTTATTAATTTTAGTATGATTGCCTTGATCACCACTTAAATGCACATTTCTGATTTGCAAATGCATTTTGCTTTTCACCACTTTTACGTTGCCTTTAGAGGAGAGACGATTCACGTGCGAGATTTGCGGTAACTGCTTCACGCAGCGATGCAATTTAAACACACACATATCTGAAGTTCATGAGAGTGAGTCCAGTGGTGTTTATGTACTTATCTTAATCTACTTCCAGACACTTATATCTTAGTGTTTAGCCACTCCTTACTCCTTTACTTTTACATTGCTTTTAGGGAGGAGGACATTCATTTGCCAGACGTGCGGTAAAGCCTTCTCCCGTCGAGGCTGTTTGACCACACACATTTCTGCGGTTCATGAGAGTGGGTTAATCAATTCTAATGTGATAGCTTTGATCAGCATATTAATACGCATTTTCTGATTCACAAATACATCTTGCAATTTAATACTTTAATATTACCTTTAGAGAAGAGACCATTCACGTGCGAGGTTTGTGGTGCATCCTTCACGCAACGATGTAACTTAAACACACACATTTCTGTGGTTCATGAAAGTGAGTAAAGTGATGTGTATGTACATATCCCATGCTACATTCAGATGCTCATGTCTGAATACTTGGCTGCAATTTGCTTTTTATTACTTTTACACAACTTTTAGGAAGGGAGCCGTTCACCTGCCAGATGTGTAGTAAAGCCTTCTCCAGTCGAGCAGGTTTAAATGCACACATTTCTACGCTTCATAAGAGTGAGTTCACTAATTCTTCAACGATATTCCTAGTCGATTTTTGGGTGCATACTTACTATTATTCAATGGTGTTGCGGATTTTCCTGCTTTGTTCTACCTTTCCGAGGCGGGGACAAGGTAAATTCCGGGTTTGATATTAGCACTTGAAGTAACAGATAGCTTTAAAACACTATCATTGCGCTTATTGGAAGTCAGATAAATGCTAAGTGAACAGCGGCAGCAGCCGAAAGCCATCACATGAAAAGTATGTGGGGAACGTGATGAGACTCCTGAACTGGGTTATATCACGTAGAAGACCCAGCCGCACTACAGTAACACGCCCTGGCCAAATATCCTTAAGGAGAATGATTTGTCTCTCATTGTGTCAGATGGTGTAATTTGGTGTTTTCCGGAGTCTCTTCTTAGTAGAATTAAAATTAGCTGATGTGAATTGATTTGAACTTATAGATATTACCATGGCAGCGGTTAAATTGTTGTTTGTAATTAAACTCGAAGATTACTTACAAAGTATCCTATGCAACAGGACAGATTTTTATCAAACTAAATTATTGTTCTGTGATGTAATATTTGTTTTAATGTGAATCTGGCCTAGCGGGCAGCCTGGACTTCCATCTTGGAGGAATCATTATCCATTAGGTCTAAAATTAACTTTTTTGAAGACGTGGTGTGCCTCAGTGGTGTCAGCGATCCAAAAGGGGACGTCTTGTTACCCCCTAGAGGGGTTGGCAACTCTGAGCGTTCGAAGTGAATGGTTTCGGGTACGGATGTCTATAGTCGCGGTGACTCACCAATGCCGAAGAGTTGAAAGGAGTCCAACTTTGGACAATTTCCAACCATTGTTCTCTTCACGATAGCCCCTACCGCCTAGGTGTTCCTGGAGGTCGCATATGACCCCAAAGAACGGAGTCCTACACTTCCGATGGGTGCTTTGAGGCAAAGCTTGAAGAATAGGCTAGGGGAGGGAGGTATTGGGCAGGTTTGAGTTTTACCTCCTAGTGGATCATCGGTCAAGAGTGTAGGCCCCATAAGATTGAAGGACCGTCTCTTGTTTGGGCGCGTCTCCTGCTTTGTTATAGCTCACACGCAGACTTGTTACACTCGAAGCAGTGTTGCTGTAGTACTTCCATCCAATCCATATCTATCCATTTGTTTTATGCACACTTTCCTAAGGACTTTGTTCGGGAAGTCCTTAAGTACAAAGAATCAATTCTTTCCCATCTAACAACTACCCTCGCGCTCATTCCCTCCTAAATCGCTATAATCGCATTCGGTTACACTTTAAATGCGCTTGCACTAACTTCAAGGTCAAGAGCAGTAATCCAGTAACCCACTCTTCCTCGATCCGCCTATTCACCATTCTTCTTCGTCTACCTCCTCCATCTCTCCGTCTCACATCATCCACCTCCCTCAGAAGAGAAGCAGAAAATGTGCAAGAATGTCTTACAATCTATTCGACGCATGCCACCTGACAGATGGCACGGATGATTGGTAAAAATCGTAATCACTTGTGTCTAGAGTGGATTTACTCATGTATGGAGGGAGAGTTGAGGAGTTCCTGATCAATAAGATGCTCTACTGCATCACTCTTGCCCTCCACTCGGGTGATAAGGGACCGCGGTTTGAAGATGGCGGTCGCCTGTTCGTGTACGATTTGTTCCAGGCGATCCTGAATCTGGACGGAGGAAGAGAGAGAAGAATACCGTTGGATTCAACGACTGGAATGTGGGAATGTGCTGTGGATTGGATAATCCGTGTTGACTTTTAACAGAATGTCTGTGAATGACACTCGGTAAATGTTCGTATTCCATGTTTTCAGAAAGCTGCTAACAACTGTGAATCATCTGAGAAATCTTGTGATGGAGCAGTCAGCGGTGCCTCCATGAAGATTTCCACACCATCTTCCTACTGGCCTTATGTATACCAGCAGTTGTGGATCCATTGCTTTCACCCTGTCAGTACTTCTATCGCATTCCTAGTCCACCAACATTTGGGTTGTTTTGGCGCCAAATCGTGGGTACAAAGCTCCAAGAAAGTGACTGTTGTGCAAAGTCATTTGCATGAGAAAAGCATTACAATATCAAGATGTTCTCAGTTTTGTAGACTAATATTTGCAAGAAATAACTGTAAAGGTGTATTTACATGTATTTCATAATAAGAAGTCAGCTTTTAAAGAAGATGCTTTTACATGTCGATATGCCAATGAATAAAATGTGCAACAAATGTACACGCAGAAAAAGACATTTGTTATTCAGTAAAATTTTTGTGGGTTACAATTATGTACAATAGGTAATATTAGATAAATACTCTCGCTCTTATACGTTTAAAAAGTAGTGATTAATTGGTTGGGCTCTTTTGAGAGCTGACAAAAATCAGTACAAGTTTATGGTGGTTGGGATGCGGGACTATTTTTCTACCTCTAGGAATCCTGGAGTCGAATTTATCACAAAGTTAGCACAGACTGCTCTGGTTTTCCCTTAGGGGTACATTTAAATAGCATAAGCATTCTGTAGCCCTTTTGTCTTTCAGGCACAGTCTTCTCTGCTTCCCCTTTATGTTGCCGTTGTGTATGCCATTGTATGGTTCTCCTTCTTACGTTTGTAGGTAAAACTTTGACTTCGAAAAACACCAGTGGAGTACCTTTTAAGGCTGCATCATGTCGTTTTGAACAAGCATTGGTTAAGTATGGAGTTGTGCGTTTCAAACAAAGCAGTTTGTAGACGGCAGGACTTTCACCACGCGTACTTCATTGTTGTCCTTAAACGATTAAATTTTGTCCTTGCTTTTTAAATGTTGACTAAGTTATCGGTAAATGGTGCTTGACACTTGTATGGTCCATTGCAGATTCATTATTAGCCTGAGGCACTGCACTAATTCTCCAATATATTCTTCAAAATAAGTTGTAAATATAGGCAAATTAAAGAGCTTTTACGTTTTTCCTACTAGAGTCATCAAAAAACTATTTTTAACTTTACTTATAGGTTTTGAGGCTAAAAGCTAAATAGTTGTTAGTATAAGACCCTATATTAGTTGTGTTACTTTTAGGCAAAAAAATTAGCTAATGCAATA